TTTTATTGTATTATTTGATATATATAAGAAGACATAGTTAATTAGGAGATGAATGAACTTTAAATTCTTAGATTAAGCCATGCACGATCATGAACTAGCAAGCATTTAACGAGGCCTCCGCAATTTTATATTAAATGATGTTTGTCTTTTGTTTAAGTGCATCATACGTTCTTTATTTGATTAGACAATGCTTTTGAATTCTTAAAAATAACTAATGTGATAAATGGGAAATGAGTATCCCTTTAAAATTACACATTTAATTACGATTTTTAATGTAACCCCCAATCTGTATTTTGGTGCACTTCACAAATTTTTTACGAACTTTGTGTTTTAACCCCACTTACTTCCCCTTCCTTTTAATAAAGCAAGTGTTTGAGAAATATTCTGCAACAAACAAATTGGAAAGTTTTCTTCTGCCAACTACTATACCTTGCACTGTAGTTCTGTGCTATGCTAATATTATGATACTTTTTAATAGCACCTCTTCTTAAACATCATGTTCTTAAATGCATAACAATATCGTATATCCCAAATTATTTAACTTAATAAATCCGAACTCTGCTGAGCAAAGTTTTTGATTCTTCTGTGGAAATCAGAACAAACTGCTTCAGTGTAGTCCCATAATGGGGTGTAAGAGTTCCTCCCAATACTGTGCAGCTAATACAGAACCAGAAGTGCAGTTGGATGAAATATCCCATTGAAATTTCAGCCCACACCATGATGCTGTCACTTATCTATGTGTGATAATTTGGACCTGATTCCATGTGCCTCGTTCTGCCCAGACCCTTAAATGCTTATTATCTAATTGCAGGCCAAATCTGGACCCATCCGTGAATACATTGTTGTGCAAATGAAAAACAGTTTTATTAAAATATTGATGACAACACTTTAAACTTGCCCCTCTCAATTGAGTGGTCAGTGTAACAGTAATACTTAAAAACATATGCATTTTCTTCATGTGAGACCTTTGGGGCATAGTACTGGCAGATTTTGTCTTACCAAGTAAAGTTCTAATCATCGATGCACCAATTGCAGAAATCTCTTATCGACTCAGCTTGACTACTTTATCAATATACCGATCTTCAGAAGGGATGCTAACCGTTGATCAACCGAATACAGATATCTAGAAAACTGTTTGACTTGTTTGGAATGGCTTCCACATTTGAGAAATTACGAAATAATCACTGCAAAAGAAAACAGCAACATCTTTTACTGAATATCATGAGTGCCAGTACGTGAGGGCTCACTATCTGCCATTCATTTTTTTCAGCCACAGAAACATGAATTTCATGAAAAATTATACTCTGAAAGTTATAAACCCACCGTATAGGCATTTAAATGAACCTCCATAAACCCTTCAGAATGCTGGCATCTTCAGCGACAACCTAAATAGCATATATATGTCTGTCGTACATATGCACGTAAGACAGTCGCATACAGTCGTCAAATGCCACGTAGTGTCAGACAGTCAGTTGAGATGGGCTGTATTTTTTTTATTTTATTACATTCTCTGCCATTGGGCACTACATGGAAAGGGATGGATGCCCCATGAATGACTTTTAAAGGGAAATTGACTCATATCTATGTTACACTTGGAAAAACTATGAAAATGCTCATGCACTCAATCCGTTCACCCGGATCAAAGTGTTCAGCTGCTTTTTACCGCTCGACCACTGGTAGGCCTTGAGACTGGCTGAAACATATGATATTTGCATACTGGCACTGCATCCATAGTTATTTTCAGCCTTTCAAATTTAAATAAGCTTTTAAAATTTACTAATTTGAATTGCATACTGGTACACTGGCTTTTAGAAGCCAATGTACTAAGGGTTTGTGTACACTAGCTTGTACATCCCAGTATACTGAGGGTTTGTGAATTGTAAATCCAATTTTTTTTTTTTCCTTTCAGAAGTTGTACTGACGTATGAATACAAAGATCAGATTGCAAGCTTTTTTCCTTCTTTTTAATGATTAAGATAAAATTATTACTGCAAAAAAGAAAAAAGTATGTAATAATTTTAATTAGTCCAGTTAGTGTAATTTCACAAGTCCAGCTAGCAATTATTAATAATAAAGAACTGCAATTATTGCTTTTAAACCATTTAGTTTATTAATGAATAGTTAAATTAAATTACAGAATAAATTTGAAAGAAAGATTAAATATCTTACGCTTCACTAAATGGCACAAGAAAGATAAAAATATTTTATTTTCGGCAGTGGCAACATCTTTCAAACTGATGAGGCCTTTTTTATATAATTTGGAAGACAAGTATCTTATGACTTTTAAGTGGCAATTTAAATTGCTGAGTTTTCCAACTAAATTTGAAGCACAAATATTGTATGCTTTCCAGAGTGGTCAGATGTTGCTTATAAGTTGCTGAATTCATTATGACGAACTCTTCAAATTCACACAAAATATAAATTAAATTTAAGGGGGGAAAAGATTCAAAATTTCTGGTTTGAGGTGCACATGTTCGGACGGAGGTGTATAGGTGTTCAAAATTTAATGGCTACATAATGCAAGGAATATACATACAGATATTTAATAACAGATTATTATTATTGATACTAAAATGCCCAAGCATCAGTCCTTTCTTTCTTTCTTTCTTTTTTTTTTTTTACACCACATCATTTTAGTACGATATAATGGCATTTATCTTTAAATACCCTCACAAGTATTGGCATTTTACAAGATGTAAGATGTTTCATTTATTATCTATGTAACTTGCAAAATGCCAGTTCGCATAAGCATCATCATTTAATTTTTTGCAATTACTATTTTGAGTTCAAATACAACTTAATAAAAATTAACATCTTTTAAAGTAACATATATATTTAACGTGTTTTAAAATAACATATACACTTCTTAACTACTCAAATTTTTATATTTTAGTTTTTACCCTATTAATGCTCATCTTTTTCTCATGAAATAGCCTATAATAGTTCCTTTTTTTTAATAACATAATTAAAATTTGACTACTTCTTGATTTGACAATGCCTGTAAACTAGATTTTTGCACAGAAAAAGCTTAGCAGGCTTCCTAAATTTATAAAAATCATTTTACAGATGACCTCCTGAATTAGATTAAAAGTTTTAAAAAGTCATCTACCTTTTGTCACACAAATTTTAAAGCTCCGAGGTGGCATGGTGCATTTAATTATGGCAAAGCACACTAGGGTTATCTGCCTAAGGGGAGAGATGTCTTCGTGGAGGATTTTCTACGGGAAACTGGCTCGTATACACGTTACACATGGGGAAAACCACGAAAACACCCATGCAGCCAGCCCGTTCACGGGATTCGAGCCTCGGACCAAACTACCAGTGTTCAGCGACTTTACCGCTCGGCCGCTGGTGGTCCCTTAAAGCTCCGAGAGTCACATTCAAACATGAGTAAATCTAACAGTTACAACATTGCCATTTCTTGGATGAGCCTTAAATATTCAATAATAGCTCTAACTAAATATTTCTCTTCAAAATGATCACAACAAAGTCATGTTACAAATGTGAAACTTGAAATAACTGAATTTGACTAAGAAGGTATATGCTTCTACAGACGAAATAGATGAAGTGACATCACTTTGCACAGCATAGTTCATCTTATACAGCAGAGTTAAAGCATCTTTTGATCCTTCAGCAAGATGATGCATTTTTGAGCAAAGAGGCTTAGTTTTTTTATATTAGAAACACATATCTGTCATTCCAAAACCATCTTACTTGACAGCTTTCTCAACCTCTGATCCTGCTGTTCTTTCTTATAAAGATACTGCCATGAGGTCAATGTTTTCAGATAGTTAAGGCTATCCAAAATAATGTGATATATAATCTATGAAAGATACCGATACAGGTATTCTACCAATACTTCTAGGAATGTCAAAAAGCACTGGAACAAGTTTGTGTTTTTTTATTAATGTTACTTGGAAGATAAATAGGTAATAATATTTTACACCTCAAGCAGAAATGTTTCACAAGCATTTTCCATAAACTTCTTGAACAATGGAATATTTCTAATTCACAACTGTTACAAACATAAGTATCAGTATTTTGATTACGATAAATAATTAATGACAGTTATTTTGATTGTCATACATTTCACACGTTAAAACGGAATAATTACTGTGTACTGCCTCAAAGAAGTATTTCTTCTTTCATAATCAATTGCTTTTAAAAGAATAAAATCATCTCATGTAAGCTACTGAAGAATATAGTTTCTAGCATTCAGCATGAAAACTTATATAGTTTTAAGAATGAATGACTCACAATTTAAAAAAATCATATTTTCTTTCTTAAATATTTCAAATCTTGTTAGTGCAAAGAGGATTCGTATCTAATGTATGTTTTTACATGAATGTTTTTATTCAAAGCATAATTTCCTTAAAGTAAAGAAACAGTCTGTTAATCAATTTTATTAGAGGAGGAGAGAATTGCGAAGATTACAATCTACGTAAAAAGTCAATAACAGCATGTGGAAGACATGTACTTTTTATTATCTAACTAGCAACATTCAGTTCTTATGGAGAAATACAGAAACTCTAAAACCATATTGCTCTGAATAGTCTGAAATCATACAGCCCTGATTTTGAAAAATAATGAAAATATCCCTTCTGAACTAAAGTTTTTTTTTTTTTTTTTTTAAATATACAGAAAAACAAAAAGCAGATTACTTACTTATTTTTTTACGAAAATACAGAAAAATACAGAATATGATTTTCCACTCCTGGCCTAAACTGTTTGCCAAGATACACTTAATAAATACGTGCAAGGGTTCAGGTAAAACATATACACATTTTCTCCTGTTGACTTTTAAGAGATAAATTAAAATAAAAAATTATGCATGTTAATATGGGATAATCAAAGATTTATTATGGTATGTAATGAGACCATTTAAACTTTGTGGAGTTAACATGGGAGAGTGGACTAACAATCACTACATTAACTTGACTAGGTGTTTAAATGTCAAGTTTCTTTTTCACTTATATCAATAAATAAATTACAAAAACAAATTCATAGAAGACAAAAATTTATTTTACATTTTCTCAGAAAAGACATTCTTATTATACAAATTCTACTTTCATATGAAGAAGTGAAACTGCTGAAAATGGAAAAACCATTTCAACTAATGAAATGAAGCGAATAAAAATATATCCTAAATATTATTCAGAGTCAAAGTTTTCACGGTCGAAATCCTAAAATGCAGAAAGCAAAGAATATTGTTAAAATATTGCAAAACATTTTATTTAATAAAATAAAATCCATAAATTCAAGATTTTAAAAATTAATAAATAAAATTATTAATGAAATTTTATTGAGTTACATTACTAAAGCAATAATTTTGAAAAAGATTAATTATTCCTTATCTGTAAGCTAGATTTGTCTCTCACCTGAGAGGCATCTTTATGAAATGACATTTAAAAAGTCTGAAAGTTTTCTCACAGAAGTATGGGACATAAATACTTTGAGAAAGTAAATATACATATAAAATCCAAAATCTTGATGCGCAGTATCCAAAAATATCTAATATCCACAGCTCCACACTAAAAGCAAATTTTGTTTTTCGTTACAAAGTCTAGGAATGCAGAATATAATATTAAAAAAAGAAACAGGTGTGCCATAAAAGCAATTTTTTACTGGACTAAGCATGATTCCTGCAAGTCACACAGGACTGGATTTCTTTTTTACTTCCTTGTATGAAGTAAAAAGGAAGTATAGTAATTGCGAAAAATTTCAGGCATCATATTTCAACAAAAATATCCATTTTCACTGCTATCGAATGCAATTTAACAATGTTTTTGCATGACATCTGTACATAAGGACAGAATGAAGGTCTCTTTTCCTCCCCAAAAATTACAAAACTGATTTAAAATGAATTCTGAAGAGAATTTTTCATGGTGTCTGTGCGTACATATCTCGCAGAACTCAAAAACAAGTAGCCTCAGAACACTGAAGATTTGTATATAGGACTGCTATAACATGTAGATGTGCACCTTGTATTTTGGTTGCGATTGGCCACACCAAAAGTATATATATATATATATATATACATACACTCTGTTACTTGGCTCAATGATCTGTTTCTTTATTCTTATATGTTTGTAAATTGTGCATTTTTTGTTTTAAAAATGACTGAATTATGTGGGTTTTTTCCCCCCCTCCAGTTACGGTTTTTATGCCTTTAGTAAATCTGCATGCAATATTTGTAGAATTATCAACAATTTAAAAGTTGTTCAAGTGTGGCTAAGCCTACATATTTTTGCCATGGTGGCCATGTTTGTTTACATTTGAAACTTGGTAGAATAGTGGATTTGTTGTCAAACTAGAGAAACTAAGCTTCACAACAACAAAGATAATGCCTTCTTTTATTATTGCGAATTAAATCATACTTAATCCATTCTGGAATTGATTCAAGAAAATAAGTGTTTAAGATTTATTTCGTAACTTTTAATATAGATATTTTGAATTTTTATGTATTTGCAATATATATAGGCTTACCTTATATATACCTTGTAGCGAAGTGAGGACTGAATTAATTGAATGAGAAATACTGAATCGTCTGAGAAAAAGTACTTCTTTTTCTCTCTCTCTCCTCCTTTTTTTTTTCTAAATTTCTTTTATACATAATTTTAGATTTATTATAATATTTGAATAGAACATGTGACAACAATTAGATAATTCTTTAGATGACATAAATTTTGTGCATTCTGAGTTACAAAGTGAATGGAATGCAACACTGTTAAGGGAATTTAGTGCCAGAGTGTCACTATGGTAAACAAATATAGTAAATTTTAAAGAGTGCATTTATTCTAGTGTGGTTTATGCGTTATCGATGAAGTAGATTTAATTCAATCCAATAAGTTTAAATGAAATGCAAGGAAAAATGCATATTGTCATGACGTGATGACCACGCATGTGCAGTTTAGCCGAATGGCCTGCAACGTCTCTCTCTCATGAGACTTACTAGAGAAGAGTAGTTAGTAGGTAGTAGCGAAGTAACGAAGGAAATGTGTTGTATGTCAGCTTAGATGCGAGATACGAAGTGATACTTGTGTGTTCATCGTTTGTACTTATTATTTTTATTTGTGTGTAATAAAAAGTTTTGTTGTGCCGTTAAAATGGCTGTTTTATGGCAACGCACACAATACGATACGTCTACGGTAGGAAGTAAATACATATCCAGAAGCTACATGCCCAAGAAAAAGAAGCATATGTCAGTGGTATCAGAACAGGAGGATATGTCATTCTGCAAAGTTCACGGATAAATGCGTAAGTGAGTCTTCAGAAAGGTAAGAAATTTGTTGAATTTATTTTGTGGTAAAGTGGAATTCAAGGTTACAAAAATGGCTGAAGAGCTAACGAAATCTAAGAAAGAACGGAAAGTTATGCGCTCAGCCATTACTAAAGTAACAAATGCTATTGAATCATTAATTGCAGCCGGTAACCTTGAAGACCTTGAAGAATCACTGGAAAGTTTAAAAGTAAAAGCTATTTCTTTGAGAGCGTTAGACGAAAAAATTAAAACTTTGACTGATGTTAATGACATTGAAACCGAAATCGAAAGTGCCTTGGAATACGAAAATTGCAAAATGGAGCTTTAGAGGCACAAAATTATTGAAAGAAAAAAGAAATAGCAATAGTTCGCTAGTTTCTAATGGTTCTTCCAATGATAGTAACAATGTATCTATTTCTGGTGTCGATAAAAGTTCTGATTATAATGTTAAATTGCCGAAGATTATGATTGATAAATTTTATGGGAATGCTGAAATGTGGCAGATATTTTACAATTCTTTTGACAACGGCAATAAATCAAAACGAAAAACTATCTAAAGTAGATAAGTTTAATTACTTGGTTAGCCTGTTAGGCGGTGCAGCTTTAAAAACAATAGAAGGCTTTTTCTTTATCTCCAGAAAACTACGATGAAGCTTTTAAAATTCTCAAAGAGAAGTATGGGCGAAAAGATCTCCTTATTAATTCTTACATGCATAAACTTTAAATTTACGTTTTACGGCCTGGTCCGAAGTTCTAATGACATTAATTCCTTGAGGGAATTATATGATACCTGCAACGTACAAGTAAGGTCACTAAATTCGATAGGGGTCAAGACCGAATCGTATGGAAAGTTACTATACCCTTTGTTAATGAAATGCATACCTCAGGATATAACGCTTGATTTTGCTCGTCAAAACGCAGATGAGGAAACTTTTAATGTCGACAACCTCATGAAATTTCTAAAACGAGAAATTGAAAGTCGCGAACGAACTTCATTAAATCTATTTTATTCTAAGAGTCACGCTAATTCTCTTGGAAGGCATTCACAACCAAATGAAAAGCGAAACAACTTCCACACTCGGAATTCATTTAACGCCAACAAATTTGGCGCCAGCTATTCCCCTAATGTAAGCAAAATTGCAGTTGTTCGAACTTTCCCTTGCTTATTTTGCGAAAGCGAAAATCATCATGCTTCGGAAAAATGCGTTATGTCTCCGGAAGAAAGGAAAAAGAGTTTAAGGGCTTCTAATCGATGCTTTCTTTGTTTCGAAAGGAATTGTAGAATAAAAAATTGCCCTTCTCAATTAAGATGTTCAAAATGTAATGTAATTCTAAGTATCATAATATATTGTTGCATGAAGATAAGGAAAGGGTTGTTAAAGAAGAAATTAAGAATAATTCTAACGCCGTAACTGCAAAGATTTCTTCTAAATATTTTACTGCGAATCAAGAGGTTAAAGAATTAATAGATGACTTTCCAACCGTTAAACTTATATGTGATGGTAAATTAATTAATGCAATAGCAGATACAGGCACGCAATTGACCGTTGTCAAGGCCGACATTGTACCAGAAAAATACCGTACGCCACATGGAAGTGTTATCCTCACGTCAGCTTTCGGGCAAGCTTTAAAAGCTCCTCTCATTAAGCTACCTTTAGCAATATATTCTGAAAATGATAAATTTAGGTCACCTATTTTTATAACATGTGCAATGGTGGATAAGTTATGTAATGATTTACTCTTGTCGTTAAGCTCTTTTAATGAGTTAAGGGGAGATGATAAAAGAAAGTTTAATTTTGAATGTAAAAATGTAAACATTGCTACTGATAGTTTCGGTGAAATGCCTTTTCATGAAACTGAAAATTTTGACGAAATACTTAACCATAATAGGGAAAACCTAATTAATGAAAAATGTAATGAAACTGTTAAGAAGATAATAGAATGTTGTGCGCTTGTATATGAAGGTACAGGTAAGGATAATTCCAAAGGTAGCATGGACACAATCAATGTGCTTCGGATTCAGAACTGTTTCGAGTGCAACAAATGAATGACCATCTTTAAAAACATGCTGGCAAAATGTTAAGAACGGAAGTAATAACTTTACTGTTATTGACAAACTTTTTGTATCATAAAGTAAAGTTCTAGGAGAAAGAGTTTACCAGTTAGTCGTTCCTAAAGAAAGAAAGAAGAAAACAAATTTTGGACTTAGCTCATTCTAGCTTATGGGGAAGTCCACCTGCGAACCAAGAAGACAGCCGAAACGTTTGAGATATTCATTCTATTGGCCTGAAATCAAGAAAGATGTAAATGAATACTTGCAGTGCTTGTACTTCTTGTCAACTTCAAGCGAAAAAAGCGTCCCTTTGATGAAGTTCCGATTACGCCAGTAACACGTCCTAAAGAACCATTCCAGGTAATTAATGTGGATATCCTCAGGACCTGTAGAGCCAAGCTGTAGAGGTTACAAATATGCTTCTGTGTGCTGTTGATCAATGTACAAGGTGGCCCGAAGCGGTGCCACTTGAAGAATTTGAATGCCAAAGCAACATGCGATGCATTGTTGCAAATCTTTTCACGCACACAGGAAATTCCTCAAATTGTTGCTTTCAGACCAAGGAACTAATTTTACTGCTTCGTTGACCCACGAGAGTTTTTGAAAAGGATCAAATCGTCCCCAAGGATCTCGACTCCTTATCATCCAAGTTCAAATGGCCTGGTAGAAAGATTCAATGCTGTTTTAAAGGGAATGATACATCATACCATTAGAGAACATTCGAAAGATTGGGAGAAACATCTACCGTATTTACTTTGGGCTTACCGAGAAGTTCCTAATGCTACGACTGGTGTTAGTCCGTTCCAAATGCTTTATGGAAGACGTCCTAATGGCCCGTTGTCTATTTTGAAATCGTCATGGACTAATGA